CCTGGAGGAAAATACCATGGAGGTTTCCCATTTGCTCCAGACCTTTCTTTTTTCCTTCAAAATATAATTCCTCATTAAAAGTGAATTTCTCTTCATCAATTACTCCTAGCCCAGCTCCTAATTCTCCTACAGCTCTTATTTTCAAGCTGGCAAAAACTGTTTGATCCACCAGACCTGTTGTTGACATGCAGCACTAACTTCTTACAACTAGGACATAAACCAGGGACACAACAGTGTTGATTCCCTCAGGCTAAGGTCCTGTGAGTAGTCGTCACTGCTAACCAGACTTTGGTTGGATATGCTATAGTACTTCCCACAGTCATCCACACAGAATTCTGGGCTTTTCATTTTCAGGAATGTTAGTCTAAATTCATTTCCTTTCTCAGTGATCCAAATGTTCCAATTGCCCCTCTGCCTCTTTATAGCCTTCCACCCACAATGATGGGGCAAAGAGCTATTTTTACACACAGTGTTTTGACAGATGGAACATGCAGAAGATGAATTTCCACTGTCATTTTCCAGTTCCTTCCTTAAACCATCACCATCAAAATTAATGTCCACGCGACTGTTCATTTACTTTATTATTAATCAGTGTTGTTCAGATTCAACTGGATATGCATTCCCATAGTTTTCTTCCCAACTCAGGTCTTCAGTAATAGCTCCATCCTATGAAATAGGAACCAAAAGACATGGCTGTCAGCCACCTTAGTATTGTTCTGTAGCGTTACAGTCAGAGCTTCCATCTGTTCATCTATTTCGAGGACAAAGACCACTTTCAAAGTTATGTATATGTGTGTTGGGCTGGCTATTCTGCTTACTTCTTGGTGATATAAAAGAGGAGATTTTGACAGAGGCCTTTACCCAAAGGACATTTAATTCAAAGCTAAGAAAGAATAATATTCTCCTGTTCTATGCTTCTCTTAAGGCACCACAATCAAATTAGATTTTTCCCTTCTATAACACCCATTTAGTAGCCTACCCTCTCCTCAGCAACAATTTCAACATTCTTCCATTTGTCACTAATTTAATCCAAACATTTCTCCCCCATGTAGGTCCCTCATTAAGTCAATGAGTGGTTCTATATGGCTGGTAGCAAGATGAGATATTCCAGGATTTCCCATTTAGTCTGTTACCAATTGTAAGGGATCAGAAATGGATAGACAGAAAAAAGGGATTATCTTTTCCATGAGGCAATAAACATTTGCATAGTCAGTTTCAACTTGGCAAGTGCAGGGAATAGATAATTCATCCCATCATCTCTTTGGAATTTTTGTATTTAGGTTTAAATTAATATACAGGCTAACTTTTTCAAAGAATATTACCAGACTTTGGGATCCTTAATAGTAGCTCTAATTTTAGGGACTAACCACCATTGAAAAAGAAAACTGTGGTGAAGTAGGGAAGATTTGTATGTTACCTTCTATAAAGGGTAAACCTTTTCTCCCTAATTCCACTACGAAGTGTAATCATCTATCTAATGGAAATCAATTTTTAGTTCCCCTCATCTTAAGTTGCAAAACACAATGCTGGAGTTTTGTATACCAGCCCTTTGCTTCTTTGTCCTGCCTACCTTCTGAAGCAGGTGTGTTAATTATCCATTCCAGTTTTCTATTAACCCACTACTTTGAAAGCAATAAATAAGTCAACCGAGTGTAATATTATTTTACTTACTGTTGCCTGCATGGGCAGGGAACTGAGGATCTAGAGCTGAAGAGATGTAGCTAGGAAGGTTTAATTTACTTTAAGTTTCTACCAAGTCTGAGGTCAGGAGAATGGGATAGAGTCGTGAGGAATCTCAGTTTGCCTCTTGCTTCATCAGTCTTTCTCCTTTGGGAAACTACGTATTTCTGAAAGACGTGTAGTTTCTGAACTCAGAGGTACTTAACTTTTTATTACCCATATTCTATTCTTGATTTTGAAGTGGATACCTAATGAGTACATGTTAATTAAAATTGTCAAATGAGGATGCTCCAGGCTCAGGTTATGGTTACCAAGTGAAAAAGAACAGTTTTTTTTCCCCTTCCAGTGAAATTATAAAGGGGAAATGTAACCAATTCCTTTTTCCCTTCACTTTAATAAATTTAAAGGCACTGCAAATGAAATTAACAAATTAAAATGGTATGAAGTAATAGAAATGTCTTTATAATTTAATCACACGATATAGAAGAAATATATAGGAAGTATTTCAATGTAATTTCTGAATGCACAATTTCATTTATAAAATATGAAAATGGGATA